CATAAGTGAAATACTTGCAAGAACAGTCTCGAGGACGATAGCTCATTAGAAAGTGTCTAGACCTATGATAGCACAACCTAGAAGGGGTTGAATAGGTTGTACGTACAATTTTTTTTTAATGTTGTTAATTGTGATAATGCAAATTCTACGACTTTAATATGTCCAATTAAAAAGTGACGATCAATTTTATCATGCTCAGACTAATTTTAAGTTTCACTATTTGACCATTGTTTTAATGTTCTAGCTATCACGGTTCAATAAACATTTAGACAGTTTGAGTTTCACAATTTGAATGTTTAAACAATATGTATTTCACAATTTGATCAATATTTTAACAATTGGAGTTTTAATTTTTAGAGAGGGAATTCAATCCATATTTTGACTAGTGATGATTAATGACTTAACTTTCAATAAAGAGATTAAACATTATATATGAATTTATTGGATTGAAAAATCTTCTGGTTCTTTGTTGAATGCCTATTTGAATTTTAATTTTGCATCATTATTGATCAAGTGATGATCCTAGACATGCTGAATAATAAATATTATAGTTATTAAACTTCTGGTATAATACTTTGTTTACTTCAATTGTATTAATATCGTTATAATATCAATCATGGCAAATATTTTAGAAACTTAGTACTTCTCTCTTTAATTTACTAAATAAATTAATAAAAATTTATTATTCCAATAACGCAGTATTGGCTCTTTCGAAGTATCAGAATAATATTCTTTTTGAATATTAATATATCATAATTTTCTTTTAAAATATATACAAATAAATTTGTATTTTTTAGGAACACCATATAGCATTCTTCTGAAATTCTTATATAATGTGGGTTGTGCTTTTTGAGAACATCAACACCATATCCATTTAGAATAATTATAATTTTCATTATGTTTCTTCAGAAGCATAAACATTGTTGAATATTTGTGATATATTCAATAATATTAAAAAAAGTATGCTTCTTCTGAAGCAATATGTTAATATTCTTTTGAAATATTGTAATTGTAATGTCATATTCTTTAGCAGCATATGATATTCATTAAGCATAGTGTAACATTGTGCTTTTCCAGGAATAACAACAAATTTAAAATATCAATTAAATATGTATAACTAATATATTTTACGTTGTAATCAATTATGACATACAAATTGAATATAATTGAATATGCTGAGCGTAATAATTATAATGTGTACATAACAATAATTTAAAGAAAACGTGGTAGTTTATCAGTTGAAATTGATAGGTGGATGCATGGACAAGAATAAATATTTAATGTAATCATACAATTTGTATAATTGAGACAATATGCAATTCTTATATTGAACAAAAAATTTAAAAGAATATATAAACTCGTGGATAGGAATTGATGTGTTCTATACATGACGTTCAAAACAAATATATTGACACTATGACCACTGACGGCTATTGTTCACGAACAAATTTCTAACGAATGGACGGTCGAATTTTAATGAAAACAATTGAATTTGAAGAAAAATGAGTTGTGAATGTCTTGTCCAAATTTCATGGACCGTCGAATGTTAATCATAATAATTGGATTTGAAGAAAAAATGAATTGTCAATGTTATGTTCAAATTTCATGACGCTTGGACCACAAGATGTTGAGATACAAATTTTTTTGTCACAGTTGTACAGTCTATCTAGATTTTGCAAATTTCTGCAATGTAGATCTCTAATTTTCTCTCTAGTTTGGGTGAGCTTTTTATTGCTAACAATGTGTTATAAAATTAAAGGAACAAACTAAAAATATAAGAGAAGAAATAGACAATCAAAACTCAAGAGAACCAATGCCTCATATATATATAGAGTTCAAAATAAGGATTATAATTAAAGTAGAATATAATAGACTCTTTCACAATAGATATGACTTTATCTATTTATTTTGATTAAACCAAATATATATATCAATAATTATCTCATAAATTTATAACAGTGACAAATTTATTTGTGATGGTTTATTTCATGCTTAACACTATTCCTACTTGTTCTCTCATGCTTTTAGTTTTAAGCCACTTCTAATCATGTCATATCATAAAGATTCATTATCTATAAATTAATTATAATTAACAATAATCTATTTAATATCAATTTCTATATTACTTATATTTTGGGGCACATTTTTTCCTCATTTGTAGAAAAAGAAGGAACGTTGGAGCAGCAACTTTTCTGACAAAACACCGTGAACAATTTGACAATGCAAGCACACATTTCTCCATTCTACCCCTCCATCAATGCAAACAAGTGATTCATTTTATTTTTGGCAATAGTTTGAATTCCATGAGATGAGGGCATATATATCATTTTCCACAAAATTCATTTGACCAAAAAAACAAAAAATACTGTAGCGGCCTCTTGTGATGTGACATGAAAATGCATTGTTAGGATCTGAGAATGAGAATCAAATGGAGGTTAAATGGAATGTTTTACACTCAAAAAATGGAAAAAATTTAAAGGAATTTTTTGATTTTATATTTAAAAATATACAACCATATTTAACTTTTTCTACATACATTTAAGGTAAATTCCACTATGGGTTCTCAACATTTTGTAAGTGGTTGCTAATGTCCCTAACCTTTTATAACCACGACACTCATGTCCCAAACTAATATAACATATTTATTTAAATTTTAAGCCCTTATTTGATATAGATTAATATAAGATTTTTAGTAAATTTTAATAAAAATTGATAAAATAAGTGATTAAAAAATTGTGAATCCCATGAAATGTATTGTTAAAATTAAGGCCCTGTTTGGGAGAGATTCTGAAAATTTTACAGTAAATCAATTTTCATTTTCAACCACACATTGTTCAATAAAATAATATTTTTCATCACATCAATAATTTTTTCTTCTTTTTCAACCACACATTTCCCATCATATCACTATTCAAAATCAATTCTTCTCCAAAAAATCCCTCACAAACAAGCACTAATTGTTGACTTTGAATTTAAATTTTAATTCAAACCAAAAAAGGGCTAAACTGCCACATAAGTGAGGATGGATTGAAGCAAGAAAATATGTTTTATGAATATTGAGGAAATTTATCATATTCGAATTTCTAAATGAAAGTTGAAGTTATTGTTTAGATTTTGTTTGGAACAAAGTAAACCTTTTTGGACATTTTTGTCGTTTAAGTCTCATATCACGCGAGTGTCATATGACTATTTAATGTTCAAATAAGGATGATAGTGGGACATGTATGTGAGAGTAAGCCATTCCCACTCGTCTTGTCAAATATTTTTGTCACTTTCCCTCGCCACATACGCGGTTAAAGCGGATGGGAAGGGACGTGTCCCCTACCCCATTTATTTATTTTATTTTATTTTATTATGCCTTTAATTAATAAATATTACTATTTTTTATTTTGTTAAGAAGAATTCACGTTTTCTTTAAAAATGATGATAAATCTTTTATTTTTGTTTAATAAAAAACTAAATTTTGAAATTAATTTTAAACTGAGCGGATATTGGAGTGGAGATTGTGTTTTTCGTACCCACTTTGGAGCGGTGACCCCTGCCCCAACCCCGCCTCATTTACCTAGTTAGGCGGGTAATCATCATCTTGTTAGGGGCCGACCTCGCGGGTTTCATGCTGAATGATTTTTTTATCATTCCTAAGTTAAACGTTAATTTTAATCAGACATTTATAACTCTATTTTATGGGAATCAGACTATTATTCCTAGAAAAAAATTACTAATAAGCTTATCTGAATATGAATTTAATCTTGATTTTCTCCTCATTTGATTGGACAAGTAGATTGTCGGCCAAGTATTATAATTGAGGAGCTAACAACTCATTATTTCAAGAACTCAAATCCAGTTAGTTTAGTACCAAAACAATTAATATTAATTTAACAATCACAAGCACATGCTTACATTGACTAAATTACTAAATTAGTCAGTGTCACGCGAAAACACTTTTTTTTTGTGGAAAATTAGGTCGAATTGAAAGCTCTGAAATATTGGAAATTATGCTTAAAAGTATACCAAAGGGATGTATGACACGTTTGAAAAAATTAATAATTACGCAATCAAATCGCTACTTTCTAGGGAATTAATGGTGACAGGCAACTAATTTGGAAAAGATTGAAGCATCCAATGCAATGACCTCATTTCATTAATTATTTTATTTTATAACATACCCAGTCTCTGTTTGGTACACATTTTGAGAGAAAGAATGTATTTTTACTATTGATGTGATGGGAAATATGTTGTTGAAAAAGAATGAAAAGTCATTAATTTGATTAAAAATATTATTTTATTGAATAATGAGAATAAGAAAAATAATGTGGATCGAATCATGGGCTTGGTATTATTTATTTGAATTAAGCTAGATGTCCAGGGTCACGAGGCTCTAGCATGATTGTATTTATTTACATTATAGTAATCTTGAATTATTTAGCCCTTTTAATATCGATTAAAATCAAATTTGAGTTAAGTTTTGATAAAAGTTGACGAAATGTATGGTTGATTTCATAAAATATATGATTAAAATTACTTGTTAATTTTGATTAAAATTTTATTTTATTGTTGTCAATTCAAAGCTACATTATGTTAAGAAAATAAATTTCAGAGCTAACTTTATACGAAATAGAATAGGAGGAAATGTGTTTTCATTACAATAATAAATTGAGGTCTATTTGACAAACTTATTTTTGAAGTTATAAAATGATCAATTTTATTTTNTTTAAGCATAAATCATCTCTCTCAAGAGCCGGACGCGTAAACCCCCCACGCAAGCAAACCGGCCGTCCCCAATTTCGAATGTTAAACCGGCTACGCAGTCGAGCGAGTCGGTAAATATCGATTCGTTTTCAATTTATCCCCTATTGATCAGATCCTTAAACTAGCCATTAAATTTCTTAACACTGTATTCCTCCCTGCCTTCACCAAGTAAATCGTCTTCATTAGATTTGTATAACCAGACGTATACATACACATATAGATACAGATTTTCTTCCCCTTTTGCATATTCAATGGCTCAATACACGCAACAGTTCCTTAGTAGCGTCCTCTCGCAGCGGGGTCCGTCGGCGCTGCCGTACGCGGAGGATGTCAAGTGGTTAATCCGTCAGCATTTAGTTGCTCTCACGGAGGCATATCCCTCACTGCAGCCGAAGACCGCCACGTTTACACACAACGACGGCCGCACGGTTAATCTTCTTCAGGCAGACGGAACGGTGCCGATGCTCTTCCAGGGTGTTACTTACAATATTCCGGTTGCGATCTGGCTCATGGAGTCATACCCCCGCCACGCGCCGCTAGTTTTTGTCAACCCCACCCGGGATATGATCATCAAACGCCCCCACGCTTTTGTCTCACCCAACGGCGTGGTTTCGATTCCGTATATTCAGAATTGGGTTTACCCAAGTTCTAATCTTGTTGAATTGGCTCGGAATTTGAGTCACTTTTTTGGCCGAGATCCGCCCCTGTATTCGCAGCGCAAGCACTCAAACCCTAATCCTAGTCCTAATTATGCTAGTAATAATTTGTCCAGTGTAAATTCGTCTATGGGGTCTGCTGTGGCACGGCCAGCAATACCTCCTAGGGTCTATTCACCTTCACCTACACCAACTCCACCTTACGGGAGTGGGAGTGCTTATGGGTCGGGAAGGATAATGGAGGATCCGGCTGAGGTTTTTAAGAAAAATTCTATAAATAAGCTTGTGGAGAGCTTGAATGGCGATATTAGGGAGTTGAGGAAGGCGAGGGAGGCAGAGATGGAAGGACTGTTTAGTGCACAAGCAGTATTGAGGAAGCGTGAGGAAGAGTTAGCAAAAGGATTGAAAGAAATGCAGGATGAAAAAGAGGGGTTGGAGCAGCAATTGCAGATGGTTTTGATGAATTCTGATGTGTTGGAAGGATGGTTGAGGGAGAATGAGGAGAAAATGGGGAAAAAGGAAATTAATAGTGTGGATGTGGATGACGCATTAGAGCCTTGCGATGCCCTTTCAAAACAGATGCTGGATTGCACAGCATCTGATTTGGCTTTGGAGGACGTGATTTATGCACTAGATAAAGCGGCCCAGGAAGGGGCGATACCATTTGATCAATACTTGAGGAATGTGAGGCTTTTGTCACGGGAGCAGTTTTTTCATCGAGCCACAGCTTCGAAAGTCAGGGCTGTTCAGATGCAGGCTCAGGTTGCCAGTATGGCTTCCAGGGCATCACCACAATATGCGATCTGATGGTCTAGTCCCTGTATAAGCTCATTCATCAGGTGTGCCGTGGAGAGTTAATTGACATATTATATACAGTCTCTTAATGCTCAGCTTTATGTATACATTTCATTGTTGTGTTGCACGGTGGTAGAAATCAATATGTTCTTCATTGGTTTGTAAGAATAGCAAGTTTAAATAAATTCTAATGATGTTTTTCCTACAAGTGTTCCCTTTTTTTGAACTTCTTTGTTTGCAGTCTAAACCCTATAAAAATTGAACTTTTTATATGGAATTTTATAGTTTATCATTTGGTTATATGCTATCATATCAGATAGCATCTGAAGTATTTTAAGTTTCAGGTTAGACCTTGTTTACGAACTAAGGAAGTTTATGCAGCCGTGCAAATTCTCAATAAAAAAATTGGCAGAAAATTAAGACGATTTACTTGTTTAATGATATTACATAAGGAATAATATTTCTTTGGATACGCATGCAGGCAATTAGTCTAGAATACTCAAATGTGATTATGTTTTGATTTTATTTCTTTTTGTCATGGTTTCTGTTGGCTACAGAAAAAGAATGTCCTTAACGACATTGGTCTCTCTCTCTTTAATGTATAACTAACTAGTTGAACCTCTTTGCTTTCTTTCTGGGTGCTCTGGAATGTCAATTTATTACTTGAATAGGACATTTTGGGGATTGTCAACATGTAGTTGTAGACATGCTTTTAAAGTAAATGAGCATTAAGGTTAGACATGGTGCTCTTTTGTTTGATGACAAAGATTTGTTTTGAGCTAGAATTGTAGGTGACACAAAATTGAGATGACATGATTATCCTATCATGCCAATTGAAAGACTGGCTTTGTATATGGTTTAGATTTTCTACAAGCCCTTGTTAAGGATATCAAATTAGTACTGATTTTCTATATTTAGGTTTACGGAAATGACTGTACTTGTTTTATTGCTCTCGTGGGAGGTAGTTTACAAAGAGTGCATTCTAAAGATGCTTGTTTGATCCCCCAAATATCTCCAATTTCATGCATGCTAGCGATATATTTTTCTTGCTGCACATGGTCGGAATTTCTTATTTTCTATTTTTTATTTTCTTTTAGCTTATGATCTGTTTTGAAATTTCAATTTTAGCTCATTTGAAGTGAGTGCTACTTTCTGGTCATTGATTGAAATTTAAGTTTGGAACTGTGCTATGTATTTACCTGGGCCTTGGTTTCATTCAAGGAATCTCTTATGGCTTCATTAGCATTTGGATTTTGGTAATAGTTCCTTGTTGTACTCATTTATACCCTTTCTATTGATTAATTGATTAGGATATGTATAATGGGGAATGCTGAAGATAGTGGGAAAGCTGTTTCATAACTCAAAATGAGATGGCTAGATTCTACATAATAATTTGATTTGTCTTGTCATTTTTTAGTGTAATTCTGCTGGGGAATATTCATTAAACTGTGAAAGATATTAGCTGTTATGTATCTTTGAAATTTGTTTTTCACATATTTGTTGCACGCATCTCTAATGTGATATTGTATGAGGGAATGTGGTTGAAATTTTGGATGCATTAGATTTTTGAGAGAATGTACACATTGCAATAAGAAGGTTAACCATTTCTTCATATCTATCACATTGCCTTAACTCCCTTCAGTTCTCTGTCACCCTTCCATGTTGCAAACACTGTAAAGTATCCGTGTGTCTGTAAGGTCTTTAAATTTGCTCTTAAGCGTGTTATCGATATCATTGCTTTAAAAACTTGTCTAGACTTATGCTGCCCCACATGAGACTTCCATTAAACAACTCTAGAGCTTATGCCTCGTGTTCCATTTGTCCAGGTTTACACCTCTATTTATTTAGGCTTATGTCTCAAGACTAAGCCTCATGGTGGGGCTCTTGTGTTTGTAGCCTTTTTGAGCTTTTATTGCTGGCTTTGGTCCTTTTTAGCTATTTTAAGCCTCAGGGCGACTGTGGCGTGCTCCATTGTCTTGCCATTTTTTGGGGTTTTAATTATTGGCCTCAGCTTTTTAAGCTATTTTTTCTTTTTTTTTTTTTTTT